GAGGAGGAGGAAGAGGGGGGAGGGACCCCCGGGACTCCTCCCGGGACCCCCCCCCAGTCCCGGCCCAAGGGCTCCGTGTGTGAGTGGGGGAGGGGCGGGGGGGGGGCCCTGAGGCTTCTTTAGTGGGGGGGTTGGAGGGTCCCTGGGGGTCCTTGGGGTGATTTTGGGGGGTCCTTGGGGTCCCTTGGAGGGGTTTGTGAGGGTCCCTGGGAGGGTCCCGTGAGTGTCACTGGGAGGTCCCTGTGTGTCCCCAGGGGTGACCCCGTGTCCCTGTGTCCCCTCAGACCGGGTGGGGTCCCTGTGGGGTCCCTCTGTGTCCCCCCCTTGACTGACCCTGTTCCCCCCCTGTCCCCCCAGACCGGGTGGGCTCCCGGCGCTGCGGGCGCTGCCTGATCACGTTCCCGGACGCGGCGTTCGCCGCCCGCCACGCCAAGCGGCAGCACCCGCGGGACTTCGCGGCGGCGGCTCTTCGAGGGGCCCTCTTCGTCTGCTTCGTCTGCTCCCGCCCCTTCGGCTCCTCCCCGGCCCTGCTGCGCCACCAGCGCGGACACGCCCACCCGGACACGCCCCCCGCCGGCCGCGCCCCCCCGAAGCGCCACGCCCACCCCGAGCCGGCCACGCCCCCCCAGCCGGCCCCGCCCGGTCTGGCCTGCACCGAGTGCGGCCGCGCCTTCGCCAGGGAGGGGGCCCTGCACCGGCACTACATCCGCCACGCCCGCGGGGAGCTCTGAGGGGAAAGGGGCCGATTGGAGGGGCGTGGACACTCGGAAAGGGGGCGTGGCCTGTTTGGAGGGGGTGTGGTGTTACAAAAGGGGTGTGACCCGTTCGGAGGGGCGTGGTCAGTTTGGAGGGGGCGTGGCTTCTCTCCCTCTGGCGCCACCTGCTGGTGGAGAATTAAACAAAAAAGCGGCGGTGGCTCCTCATTGGTTGGTTGTAACAGAGAAGGGGGGGAGTTGTGTTGATGACGTCATTGGGAGGGCGAGGTCGTGGCGTGGGGGGCGGAGCTTGAGGGTGACGTCACACCCATTGTGTCTCCTCCAAGGGCTGTCACTGGGATCGGGCCCAATGACGTCACCTTGACCCTGTGACATCACACCCTGACCAATGACGTCACGTGCCTTTGATGACGTCACAACCGCCCCCATGACTCGACGGCAACGAGAGGGGCCCCAATGACGTCACTCCCCTGGCTGTGACGTCACCCCCACATCGACGACACCACTCCCTCGTCTTATGACATCACATCCTGTTGATGACATCACGTCCTCCACGGCCACACCCCCCCACTGCCCCACGACTTCACAGTCCCGCCTCCTCGATGACATCACAACCCCTACAATGACATCACACCCCCCTTGTTGACATCGTAGCACCCCTGATGACATCACAACCCTCTTGGTGACATCACAACCTCTGCGGTGACGTCAGACCCCCCTCCAATCACATCCTTGATGACGTCACACCCCCCCCCCTCCATTACCCGCCCAGTGATGTCATCGCTCCTCCTCCTCCAGCCAAGTTTGGGACAGAGGGGGCGGGGCGTGTCCCCCCCCGGGTGGGCGTGTCTCCGGGCGGGTGGGCGTGTCCCGCGGCTCGTCCCCGCCCCCTCAGAGCTCCCCCCGGGCGTGCAGCATGTAGTGCTCGTGCAGCTCGGCCACGAGCCCGAAGGCTCCGGCGCACTCGGTGCAGCGGAACGGGGGGGGCGGGGCCGGCGGGGGGGAGGGGCTGCGAGGGGGGGGAGGGGCCGCCCGGCGGGGCGGGGGAGGGGTGGGGGGCGGGGAGGGCCCGGGGGGGCTGCGGTGCCTGCGCCGCCGGCCGTGCTCGCAGCGATGGGCCCCCAGCGCCGCCGGGGCCGCGAAGCCCAACCCGCACTCGGCGCAGATGTAGTGGAACTTGAAGGGGGAGGGGCCCGCCGGGGAGGGGGGGGCGAGGGGGGCGGGGCCTCCGCGGGGGGCGTGGCCGGCGGCGGGGGGCGGGGCGTGCCCCTGGGGGCGTTTCCTGCCCACGTGGTAGCTGCGGTGGACTTTGAGCGCCCGGGAGGTGCCGAAGCCCCGCCCGCACTCGGGGCACTTGTGCCACTCCCCTGCCCCTCCCCCGCCACGACGGCCCCCTCCCCCTGACCCTCCCCCCCCTGCCCCGGCCACGCCCCCCCCCGCGGGGCTCGACCCCCCTCCCCCGCCCACCCCCCCGGGATCCCCCTCCCCCACTCCGGAGTCCAGGAACGGCCGAGGCTCCTCCCCCGGGGGGCGGGTCCGGGCACCTGTGGGGGAGGGGAGAAATGGGGGGGG